TCTCCCTCCAATCTTGATGCTAAAATCCTCTTGATAGAGTCCAGCTTCTCGGATAATTTGCTCAGCATATAGATTGAACACATATGGAAAGAGAATACTACCTTGACATACTTCCTTCCCAATTTGAAACCATACAGTGCTCCCCTGCTCTGTTTGCGCAACAGCCTCCTGAACCATGGATAGGTTCTGCATGAGCACAGTCAAGTGCTCTGAGATTCCCACTCATGTAAATGTCAGCTACAACTTGTCATGATCCAAACAGTCAAACACATTTTGAAAACCCTATGAACACTAAATAAAGAGGAGGTCCTGTAGGATTCTGTAAGCTTTTGATATGAGGCCCTTGTCTGAAATAATATTGTCAAATGCTTTTTTCCCATGAGTAGGTTTACTTTTCACTAAGTAGTTTTTTATGCTTTTGATATGGATTTGACTTTTAGAGGATCTTTTCATCAATTTTATCTTCTCCAAATTGTACATTTCTGACTAAATTTGGTATTCTCTTTATAGCAAAGACTAGACCATCTACGCATGATCCCAATTTATTTCTGATGAATTTATGATTTTGGGCTTTACTCCCAGGTCTGTGATCCACCTTAAGTTGGTTTTTGTACATGGTATGAAATTGGATCCTGTTCAGCTTTCTGCAGGCAGCAATTTAGTTTTGCTGGCATCATTTGTTGAAGAGGTTGTCATTTCTCCATTTGTATATTTTATCTCCTTGTTGATTATCAGTTGTCCATAGATAGCTGAGTCCATTTCTGGGTTCTCAATTCTGTTGAATTGGTCTATGTGCCTGTCATTATACCAGTACCATGCTGTTTCAACTACTACTGCTGTGTAGTATGTTTTAAGGTCAGGGAGTGCTTGCCTCCCACTTGATTTTTGTTTTCCAGAAGTCCTTTGCTTATTCTGAGTCTCTTTCTTCTCCAGATAAACTCAACAACTTCCCCTTTGATCTTCTTGAAAAGTGAATTTGGTTATCTGTATTGAATTGTGTTTAACATGTAGATTGCTTTTGGTAGGATTGTCATTTTCACAATTTTGAATCTTCTTATCCATGAACAGGACACATTTCTTCCATTTATTTAGGTCTTTTATTGTATCTCACAGAAATGTTCTGTTTTCTTTGTATAGGTTTTTTGTACCTCTAGTTAAGTTCACTCTCAAGTATCTCAATTTGTGGTTGGCTATTGTAAATGGTATTGCTTCTTTGATTTCCTTCTCTGAGTTCTCTTTTTTACTGTAGAGGAATTTCACTGATTTTTGGATTTTGATCTTATGTTCTGCTACTCTCCTGAACTGGCCCACTAGCTCTAAGAGTTTTTTTGTTGAGTCCTTGGGGTTTTCTATGTATTACTATCTGGTCATCTGCATATAATGATACCTGAACCATCTCTTTGCTGATCTGGATGCTTTTTATTTCCTTCTTTTGCTGTATTGCTCTAACAGACATTTCCAGTACAATAATGAATAGAAGTGGTGACAGTGGGCATTCTTGTCTGGTCATTTGCAAGGACAATGCATTTAGTCTTTCTCTATTGAAAACGGTGTTGTCTCTTGGTTTTGCATATGTGTTTTTCCCTATGTTGAGAAAATTCCTTTCTATTCTAATTTTGCTGAGTGTCTTTAACAGGAAAGGTTGTTGTATTTTGTCAAATGACTTTTCTGCATCAATTGCTAAGATCATATGGTTCTTGTTATTTGCTTCGTTAATATGGTGGATTACATTGATGATTTTATGTATGTTGAATTATCCTTGCATACCTGTTATGAATCCCACTTGGCCATGGTGAATTATTTGTTTGATGTGCTTTTGGATTCTATTGGCTAGGATTTTGTTAAAGATTTTTTTGCATCTATAATCATGAGAGATATTGGCCTGTAGTTTTCTTTTTTGGTAATATCTTTGTCTGGTTTTGGCATTAGAGTTATGCTTACTTCATAGAATGACTCTGGGGGTGTTCCTCTTTTTCAACATTTTTGAAATAATTTAAGTAGAATATGAGAACTTTCTTGAGGGCCTGAGAAGCATTTGTACTGCTCAGGCTGTAGACAAAAGGGTTGAACATGTTGTCAGTATGGAATTGATTCCCTCTGAGTCTTGTTTCTACATTCTTCTTCATATAGTTCAGTTTTTCAGATTAATTGCTCAGTATACAGGCTCAATAGCTAGAGATAAACAAAGCAATCCTCGTGTACATATGCCTTTGTTCCCTTAAAACAGTTGATTTTTGTTTATGTATATGTTTCAGATAAGCACAATTAAATATTATAGAATCACAATGTTATGTATAATTTATTAGGTTTTACACATTTGATTGCTTTTGCATAGTCAATAAAACAGAAACAAAACATTTTCTAGGTATTCTCTACTTTTAGATAAGCTCTATCCGAAACCAGCAATATTTAAATACAAAAGTCTCATGATTAAGAAGAAAATTATGGTATTATATTCTTACATACAGAATCATATGATTTTGCATTGACCCTATTTTTCAAAATAGCTCACTTATATTTTTTAGATTATACTTATTTACACAATTCAAATACATTGTTTTGCACACAGGAGCTTTTCCATTTCTTTCACCCCTGCTGCCACCCTGACCCATTAAATTGTATGACCCTATGCAGGAGTGGCATCCAACTTCCTAAATAACATGCCTCTGGAAACTCTATGAACTTTGATAAATGTCAATCATTACAAAAAGGCTTCAGGTCTTTTGTTTATAGGGTTACTATGAGTCATGCTTGATTTGATGACAATAACAACAACATGATTATCAAATATATATGAAATGTGCTTATAACACTATGATTTTTCTGCTTATTTTCATTAAAACTCACTATTCAAATATAATGCTTTCAGATGAAATGAAAATTAGAAAGTAGAAGACTACTTTTGCTTTTTGAGAACTTTTCTGAGGGCCCTCGCAACATCTTTATTGCGCAGGCTGTAGATAAGAGGGTTGAGCATGGGTGTAAGTATGGTGTAGAAGACAGAGACAATCACATCCTGCTCAGCAGAGTGGTAGGACTTTGGCAAAAGGTACTTAATGATTGCAGCCCCATAGAATAGAGACACCACAGCCATGTGAGAAGAACATGTGGCCAAAGTTTTCCTGAGGCCCATGCTTGAGCCTATCCTCAATACAGTAGACAGTATTCTCCCATAAGACACAGTGATAGCTGAGATTGGGGGGAGAAGAAAAATAACACCACTGACAAAAAGACCTTTTTCATATTGTGAAGTATCTGCACAGGCCAGCTTCAACAGAGCTGGAATCTCACAAAAGAAATTATGGATTTCCCTGGACATGCAGTAAGGTAGAGTCAGTGTGTAAACAACATGAATAAAGGCATTGAGCAGTGCCCCTGACCAGCAGCCAACAACCATGAGCACACAAACCAAGGGCCGCATGAATATTGTGTAACGCAGAGGGTGGCAGATGGCCACATACCGATCATAAGCCATGACTGCCAACAGAAGACACTCTGCTGCCACTAAAGTCATGAAGAGGAAAAGTTGAGCACCACAGCCAACAAAAGAGATGTGGTAGTTGCCAGATAGAAAGGAGAAGGCCATTTTGGGAACAAATGTAGAGATATACAAGATATCCATGGTGGATAACTGGCTGAGCAGAAAGTACATAGGGTTATGGAGACGTGAGTCAGCACGAATTAAGATAATTATTGTTGTATTTCCAAAAAGAGTCACAAAGAGCGCTAGAACAGTGAGGATGAACATAACCCAGGGAACCTGGGTGTCATTAAACACATTCAAGAGGATGAAATCTCTTTCTAATGTTTGGTTACTCTGCGATGGCATTCTTAGTTTTGTATTATCAAAAATCTGTAGATAATTACCACAATGCCATCATTTTACAGCCTATTAATATTTATGCCATACTACATCACTGATAATTTTTCAACATTTCACATCCATTCCTTCTCTTTATTTTCCTTGGTTTTAACTCTGAATATATTTGTCTCTCCAAAAATTTCAATGAAATACTTTTAAGAGATAATCCAGGATATGATACTTGGTATTAAAGAAGAAGGCATCATCACCATTTTTGTGTTAAATATAGTTTTAAAACATTATCAAAGTTTTCTAGACATGGTATTCACATAAAAATAAGAAACTATAGTAATCATTAGTAAAGATAATTACTTGCTATGTATCATAAATGTAGACAATGACTAGAGATGATGGAAGGAGAATAGAGGCCTTTGAACTGTGGTGCTGGAGAGAAAGTTTGAATATACCATGGACTGCTAGAACAACAAACAGATTTATCCGTGAGAGGGCGAAACCAGGATGCTCCTTGGAGGTAAGGATTCTGAAGCATCATCTGACATACATGTTGCAAGGTGGGACCAGTCCTTGGAGAGGTATGCCATGCTTTGGAGAGTGGAAGGACAGCACAAGAGAGGAAGACTCTCGATGAGATGGAATGACTCAGTGACAGGGGTAAAAGTAGTAGGTTTTCCAGAGACAATAGGGTTGGCCCAGGATAGAACAAGGTTCAGAGATGTTATACATAGGTTCGCTATGAGGTGCAAGCAACTCAACGACACAAAACAACAACAACATTATATAGATTTTTTTTTAATTAAAACCATTAAAATTTGGACTGATCATTTAACAGTTTTACTAATGAATTACATGTAAAACACATGGGAAAAATGAGAAAAAGATTCATTCCAAACTTTCTATTGACTAAATAGCCTATCAAAAATCCAATTATTTCCAGACATTTGACATACTGCAAAAAAGAATATGAAGACTAAAAGGTTTCCTCTAAGAAGACATTCTGTAGATCCCTGAATGACATAAATGGTTTGCAATCATTGATTAATGTAAAAGGTGAAAAGTCAAACTCACTTGGAGGCATCTCTCAGGAAAAAATTTGGTGATTTGTTTCCATTTGTATTACAGGCAAAAGAACTCTTTGCAGCTACTTGTTCTGTAAAATATGGATCACCATGATTTGGAATCAATCAAAAGCTAGGAGTATTCAAAAGAAGACACTTTAGACATCTAATGTGAGAGGACGGTAAAGACATTGGGAAACAATGTATACAAACTTTATAAGCAAACTATTATAAAATGACATTTTAAAAAAATGATTTCTGTAATTGCAATAAAATTTTCTTGCATGAGAGAGAGAAAAAGAAAGGTTGAAGATGAACTTTTAGCAAAGTATCTTATGTTTCGTGGTGTACACTTGTGGCCTAGTGCTGCACGGCCAACCCAAATATTCAAATATACCAGCTGTTCTATGGAGAAAGATGGCAGTCTCTTCTTACCGTACAACTTACTGCCCATGAAAACCCACTGAAGGTTCAACTATGGGTTGATTCTGATTCAATATTACATAGCAACAATAGCAACTAATCTAACCGAATATGTAAACTCTGAAATAAAAATCTGGAAAGCTAGCTACTTCCATAAGGTTTTGGACATTGCAGCAAAATAAAAGACATAGGTCTACATGAGTGACTGTTGAGTGTTAAACAGCACACAGAATAGAACATAATGAATGATTTTTTTTTTTTACAGCTGGTACCATAATTAAATCATTCCCCCTAGTGATGATGGTTAAGCAGTAATGTCACAAGGCTTTTTTTTTGTTTCCCTGAATCTTGTTGCAAAAGATTTCGAAGTCATATAAATTAGAAATAATTCTCTCCCTGTTCACACCATAATTATCTTTCAAGGTATAAATACATAATAAATATAAAATACTTATACTTTTGGGTTAAATTTACAAAATTTCTCTTGAATATGATTTATAAAAAATGGAAACTACAAATTCTAAACATAAATTGCTTAGTTCCTTAAAACCTATGTCACTGATAAGGTTAAAACTATGACATTACAAGGTTTTAATATAGTGAAATAGGCAGCGCAAATATTACTATTATTTGGATAGATTTATAAAAAATTTTGTTATGCATTATTTCACTGAAGACATGCTCTTTAGGATTTATGATGTCTAAATAAAGTATCTCTTTTACTTGCTCATTATCTACCTTCGCAGAGACTCTGGAGTACACTATCTGTTCAATAACATTTGTTGATGAATGATTGACTGAATACACATAAGTTCATGAAGTTCCTTAATACATTTTAATGCCTAAGACTGTGTGCTTTAGAAAGCATAAAGAATTTTTTCAAAGATCAAACATTCGAAGCAAAGTCAAAGCATTTCTCTTACCTTTTTCTAAAAGTAAAAATCCACCTGATCTTCTCAAGTCTTTAATTGCAACACAACACTGCAACATAAAAGAGACCATGCATTGTGATTTAAAAGTAGGATCTACAGAATTATAAAAAAAAAACAAACCAACAACCTTTTCCTTTTGCAGAAGGTGGTGGTCACTTGCAGTTCAGCTTTTGGAGAAACCTATGTGTAATCTATTTGATTTAGTAAAACATTTATACAAAAATGTGTTACATTCTATTTATTCTGGAATTCTTTTTTATTGTTTCAGAAATAATCTATTGCATATTTTTTCAATGTATTCTTATAATTTAGGGAAACGAAAGGATTTGGTAGTGTGACTTCAATAATTAATTTGAGCTCTGCAGAAATCTTGATGATGTTGCAAGACAAGGCAAGGTGCAAATCACGAGGTAACAACAGTATACTCGACGTCACTTAATAAGGAAAAAAAAAGTATCTTTGACTCAAAATAGTAAAATATATCTTTGGAAAAACTTTCTTGTTGTATTTTTAATGTCAGATTAGCTCATGATTATATAATATTACATTAATGTGTGCTATCAAGTCAGAACTGAGTCATAGCTAACCGTGTAGCAGGTTTTCAAATGCTGTAAATCGTATGGGAGAAAATCTTTCTCCTGTAGAGCAACTGGTAGAGTCAAATCACATTCCTTTGAGTTGGTAGCATAAGCCCTTAACACTTGGACACAAGAGTTTCTAAAATATAGAAAACACAAAAATTAAAATAATTAAAATCACCTATAATTCCAGAAAGAATAAAAAGAACTTGTTAATTTGAGGTTCATTTCTTCAGGTAAACCTTCAGGCTTGTCTGAAGGGTATTATTCTGAATTCAATTCCCTAAGGCAAAATAACGTTAACTGTGAATTTTTTCATTTGTTTATTTAGTGTTATGTTTCTAATATCAGTGTGTATATATCCAGGAGTAAAAGATCATTTTAGATACATTATTCTGTATTGCTAATATGGCTGAATCACTTAGTAATATTTGTCCCAATAATTTTACATATTATATATTCCATAAATTCACAAAATGAAATCATATAGCAATATTCATTCAATACAGCTTTTGAAGTTTTTCAGGTAATTCTTTCAATATTGGTGATAAAATCCTATTTTAATGCTTAAAATATCATTTTATGTATTACTTGGCCTTAAAACTATGAAAGTAAAATAAAAATGCATCAATTTATGGAAGAGAAACTCCTTAATATATAAAATGAGTAAATTATGATCTAGCCCTCTTTATATGATAATAGAGACAAAACATATTCAGATACAATAAATATCAAAACCCAGTCCCTGTGGGGGAGTCAATTCTGACTAAAGTAAACCGTATGACATAGCCAACTGCCAGATCTTATTCCTTTGAAGTGGAATGTGGGCTAAAACTTCTGATCTTTCTGTTAGCTGAGTACTTAATTATGCCTGTAGTATTCCTTTAACTCAACAGAACAGATTAAGTTACTTTTTCCAGTTTGCTAAATGACTTTTTGGAGAGTTCCTATTTTACTAACAAGGCAAATTAGGCAAATCCAAAAATCATGCTAAATTTTCTTAAAATTTTTTTCCGAGAAAATTATGCTTACTTACGCATATGAAGAAAATTTATTCTACTAATAATGCTTGATAGGAATTATTCTTCTTTCTTCAAATATCAGAAACACAGAGTTGTCTTTAATAAAGAGGCCAAATACAATGAACTTTGTTATTTCTGTGGCTAAAGGCCAACTTATCACCCCACTGAAAGTCCTTAGAGGAAATATCCCTAGTCTGCAGCTCTAACCCCTTAGGTAAAGTACATCAATTACAATGCTGTCTATCCTTCATGAACAGAAAAATTTAAAAAAATAAAATTAAGAAAGATGCAACTATTTCACAGTTAAACACAGTATCTGTACTAGGGAATGTTACCTGTCAGATTGATAATGAAAGACTGTAAGTGAAACTAAAATGCTATCTTTATGTGCCATCCAGTTGAATGTGACTCATAATGACCTTGGGAACAACAGATCTGAACCTTGTTCTATTCTGGACCAACTTCAGGCATGCTCAGAGCATTGTCAAAATTGCTGTGTCAATCCACCTTGTTAAGGGTTTTCTCTTTCTTTGACCTTTTACATTTGTAAGCATATGCTTCTCTGCAAGAACAAGTATATTTCCTGATAACATGCCCAAAGTATGTAAGACAACGTTTACCCATTGTTATCTTTAATAAGCTGTTATGTTAGCAGCCTTCCGGCAGGACAGATTTTGACAGTCCATAGATGTTCAGTGATCTTTACAACACCACAGTTACAAGGCGTTGATTCTACTTCTCTTTTCCTTATTCAATGTCCAACCTGCAGGTATATAGAAAGCAAATAGCATGGCTTGGATTAGGAACATTCTAGTCTTTAAACTAGTATCCTTATTGTTTAGTATTTTTTGAGAGGTTTCTGACAGGATAATTTCCCAATGGAACATGGCTTTTGGCTTCCTGACTGCTACTATAATGAGTGTTGATCATGAGACTAAATAAAATCAAATCCTTAGCAACTTCAATTTCTTTTGCGCCTAATATAATATTGCCTAT